AATGCTATTCAAAATACACAAATGTTTCGGCCATTTAATAGATAAATTCGCGCGCTTTCGTCACGAAACAATAGTCAAAATGGAAAGTATGTCACGAGAAGAGAAATTCAAAGCCACGAAGCTGCCGGAGCTCAAAGCGCACTTACAAAATCGAGGAATTACCCTTAACAGTTTACCTCGAACCCGGACTCGTAGCTATTGCTTGTGCCGTCGAAGAAATGAGTTTTTCATTGCTTTTTCAAGTCAGTGAAGCCGAAGACCACTTAAATCTAAGCCGTCGTTTGAAAGTTCACGATATTCAGCTGCCTGATCCTTTTAAAATGAATGTTTTAAACGATTTTAAGCATTCTCGCGCGTTGTTTGATATATTTAATATTAATCATCTCGTATATCACTCGTCAGAATATGACAAGCAAAGTCTAGCAGCAGCTTATAAATATCTTTTACATATCGTACGCATTTTAATGTTGCGTTTTATATGCTAGACGGAGATTAGGATTATTATTCTCCGTACTAGTTATTGCTGATACAGGGTCTGGATGTTCTTCAGTAGGACCATTTTGTCCAACAAAATGAAGGCTATAACAAAAATATAACTATCCTTCGTACATACAAATTTATCGCCTCTGTGACATGCACGTATCCAGCCCTCTCGTTTTTGCGCTGTGGTATCTAGCCCCAGGAAAATGTAAAAAAATATATATCAAACATGGCAGAGCGTATATATACTGTATAGAACAATATAGAACGGTTACGACTAAAAAGTGCATGCGCTTGGGGTACTTGTAAAAGCGATTCACGGTATCCTGATCGGTTAAAACCAGACAGTAATGGAGCTGATATCTTTTTTTTACATTTTCCTGGGGCTAGATACCAAGAAGGATAGTTATATTTTTGTATAGCCTTCATTTATAGCCTTCATTTTGTTGGACAAAATGGTCCTACTTCAGAACATCTAGACCCTGTATCAGCAATAATTAGTACGGAGAATAATAATCCTAATCTCCGTCTAGCATATAAAACGCAACATTAAAATGCGTACGATATGTAAAAGATATTTATAAGCTGCTGCTAGACTTTGCTTGTCATATTTGGACGAGTGATATATGAGATGATTAAATATATCAAACAACGCGCGAGAATGCTTAAAATCGTTTAAAACATTCATTTTAAAAGGATCAGGCACTATCAGGCAGCTGAATATCGTGAACTTTCAAACGACGGCTTAGATTTAAGTGGTCTTCGGCTTCACTGACTTGAAAAAGCAATGAAAAACTCATTTCTTCGACGGCACAAGCAATAGCTACGAGTCCGGGTTTGAGGTAAACTGTTAACGGTAATTCCTCGATTTTGTAAGTGCACTTTCAGCTCCGGCAGCTTCGTGGCTTTGAATTTCTCTTCTCGTGACATAATTTCCATTTTGACTATTGTTTCATGACGAAAGCGAGCAAATTTATCTATTAAATGGCCGAAACATTTGTGTATTTTGAATAGCATTTGTATTACGCTCCGCCATGTTTGTCCGAGTTTCCGATTTCGCGAGCACGTGTTTCCACTTAACACAAAACCGCCGAAGTGGTCTATTGAAACAATTCAGGCGGTAAATCTAACCCCCCAAAGGCAAAGTCCTTGCAACGGCCCTGGTCACGCATTCTTATCTTTCGAGCTTGCATGGCAGGTCTGCAACAAGTCTAGACAAAAATTTCATCACAGCTTGAAAGAGCATCACAAAATTAGTAATATTCCAAAGGCAAAGTTTCGTTGCGAAATGTTGTAAAATGCAGATAATATAGCCTTGCGAAGTTTGTAATTTTCAGTCATTTTGTATTACAAACGGGAAATGGTTACCACTTCGGAAAATTTCCCGCGCGTAATACAAAATGACTGAAAATTGCAAACTTCGCAAGGCTATATTATCCGCATTTTACAACATTTCGCAACGAAACTTTGGAATATTGCTAAATTTGTGATGCTCTTTCAAGCTGTGATGAAAAGTTTGTCTAGACTTGTTGAGATCAAAATTTTGGTTAATGTAGGAATGGTCCATTGTTGAAAAGAGTAAGGCCCGTTTCAGACGGCGTACTCTTCATGTGCCGAACTTAATTGTATTAGATGTGACACAAGAACGGCAGTGATTCAAACGGCGTACCAAATACAATGTTATTGACAAGGTCGGGGCGCATTCGCTAGCGAAACCTAAATAAAATTCAAAATAAATAAGTTTATTTTTAGACTAAAGTTGAGTTAAGTTTGGCGCATGAGTGGAGCGGCGTATGAATCAATGTCGCTCCAACGTCGCATAATGCGACAAGCTCTGCCGAACTTGTGTCGAACTTTTGCCGCTCCAAATTCTGCCGTACTTAATTGATTCATACGTCGCTCTTCTGCCGTACCTAATTCATCAATTAAGTTCGGCTCATGAGAAGTACGCCGTCTGAAACGGGCCTAATTCGATCGGCAGATGTGCTCTAAGAAAGGTTGGTTTATCTGAAGTTTCTGTGATCACAGTAGGAATTTCGAGGGAACTGACTCAGTGTTAAACAGTGAACCAATTCCCTCAAGAATTTCTTACAAATCCTCCAACGATGCAAAATTCCAGATGATCTTGATACGCGGAAAAGTACTGGCACTAGTTGTCAAATAGAAATCCATTTTATGATTAAAACAACTGAATATCTCCTGGACTATATTTTATTTGGATTCCATATTTTTGTCAGAGCTAGAGTTCTCATAACCAAACACAATTACAAAATTTCAACTAGTTTCATAAAGAATAACGAAAGATATAATTGACTGAATACATCAAAATGGATTTCTATTCGGACAACCCTTTCTGAGCGCTGATTGGCTAAAATACGAACACGAGATCACCTGGTGTGATATGTCATAAGTTCATAACTGTGGATGGATGATTCCAGCTATAGACGAAATTTTGATTTAAAATGAGTAAGATTGCAAAGTTTGGTTGCGAATTGTTGTAAAATGCCAGGAAAATATAGCCTTGTGAAGTTCGCAAATTTTGTATATATTTGCATAACGTGAGGGTTATTTTTACCGCGCGTAATACAAATATATACAAAATTTGCGAACTTCACAGGGCTATAGTTTTTTCATTTCTCAACATTTAGCAACCAATCGTTGCAGTTTTACTCATTCTAAGACGCTCTTTATAGAGCTGTGGTGTTGGATTTCGTTCTTCTTGCCTTGGTCAAAATTTAATCTATAGCTGGAATCACCCATTTACAATTACAGTGATAAAAATTCGCATTTCAGACTTGGGTAAGGCAGTTCCCTAAAAATGGGGGATAACTGACCGAGCGTGCGCGAAAGGCTAATTTCTAGTTACTCTTTTACTGCTTCTAGGCATCAAAGGAAGACGTTGGACTGTAGTCTCACAATACGTTTTGCTAATTTACCAAATAATGCTCATCTGGAATTGATTGAATCTGCCGAAGGACGCCATCATTCTGGTTAGGAATTATAATCATTTTTATCTGTCTGTGGCGGTGTATAGGAAGTGGCAATAATGAGAAAGCTTGGGATTGCTAGGGATGCAACTACCTGAAAAATACAAGGAGAACTTCGACGTTTCGAGCGAAGCAGGGTTCGTACAAAACTTGAAAGTCCTTGAATGTCCTTGAATTTGAAAACAAAAATTCAAGGCCTTGAATATCCTTGAATTTGTAAAGAAGTACTTGAATGTCCTTGAATTCTTCTTGCTTTAGTTTTTGGATATTTTCTGAAATTGTTTGACATTCAAGACGGACATTTTGTTGAACTGATTTTGCATGTTCATATCTGACCTCATTATAAAGTTACGTTTTGAACAATTCAACGTCAGATTTTGCTGATTTCTAACGCCTTCTTCTTCAGTATGTAGTCCTTGAATTTGCTGATACATGGCCTTGAATGTCCTTGAAAAGTCCTTGAATTTGACTCTTTCTCACATGTACGAACCCTGGCGAAGGCCCTTGCGTCCATAATAATTTTTATGCCTTAAATTTTTATGCCCCACTTCGGTGGCAAATAATATGGTTAGCGCACTTGCCTTTCACCTCTAAGGCCGTAGGTTCAAATCTCAATGAGAACTTCTCAATGTGACTCGAACCCAGTCCTCATGTGAAAAGAGTAAGTCAACGCTCTGCCGAAAGTCGTGGGTTTTCTCCGGGTACTCCGTGTTTCCTCCCACAGGGAAAGTTGACAGGGTGGGTTAGGCACATAGGTCTGGACTCTGGAGACAGATCATTAATGAGGTATGGACTAATAGCGGTTGCTCAAGCGCCATTTGTAAGCTCGAAGTCTACCTCGGTCTGCTTCACGTCAGTGCGGTTCTATCTATATATTCATAATGTAACCAGTCACTGAAAAGCCCTGATAGGGAGTGCGCTGTGAAATATCTGTAATCTGTTAGCCAGATGATTAAAAAATTCGGCAATTTGACGAAATGGGCAATTCCAGCTACAGACTAAATTTTGATCTAGGCAAGAAGAACAAATTCCATCACCACAGCTAGAAACAAGCGCATGTTAAAATTGGTAAAATTGCCAAGTTTGGCCGCGAAATGCTGTTTGGGCCGAAAGTGGTGCAAATTCCCGTGCGTAATACAAATTAATACAAAATTTGTAAATTTCGCATGGCTATATTTTCCGCATTTTACAACATTTCGCAACCAACCTTTGCAATTTTACTAATTTTAACATGCTCTTTCTAGCTGTGGTGATGGATTTTGTTCTTCTTGCCGAGATCAAAATTTAGTCTATAGCTGGAATCACCCATTGGGATTTTCAGTTAGCCTGCGACATTCAGACAGGAATTAAGGAATATCGTGTTTCTTAGGGGCTGTTTATATGGTCCCGCTTGCCCGGGATTCAATGAAATGTGACGTATTTTGAGCAATTTAAATAAGTCGCACTTCATGATGTAACAAAATTGCTTGTTACAAATTGTAAGAAATTCCATGTTTTAGACAAAAAACAAATGTTGTCGAATGTTATATTAATCTTCTTCTTCCACTACATAACTTCTAGCGCGTTCGTAATTTCGTTTAAACAATATTTAAAGTTATCTAACTTTTGTTTAGGGCTGAAACACGTATTTGAATTGCTCAAAAATACGTCACACTAGTGACTTTCTCGTTGTCTAGCGCCAGCTGAGTTAAATTGAAACTTTTGAAGTGCAAGTCGCCTGACATTGTTTTACGTACTAAAAACAGACAAATATTTATTATATAGTAGAGTGTGAGATACTGAAAAATACACAGTGAGACAGTGGCGGAAGTCTTGGTGGGGCGGGGGGGGCGGCCGCCCCTCCCCACCTTCACGGAAAATTGACGAATTTTCGGAAATTTTGACCTAAAAAAGGGCTAAAAACAGTCTGTTCGAGTGCACTGATGAGGGGGTACGTTGGAAATTTGAAAATCTTGTCGGAAATTTACGAGGCTTTCCCCCCCCCCCCCCCCCCTCACTGGAAAAAGTGAATTTCCGCCACTGCAGTGAGATATTTTCCATATCTGATATCTTCACTAGTGAAGATATCGATCACGTGACCAGTGGCGTAGCCAGAACGATAATTGGGGGGGGGGGGCATATTCATATATTCGCGTTCACATACCATAAAAACAATTGATTTCAAAAGAAATTAATAAAGCAGAACACGAATATATGAATATGCCCCCCCCCCCAATTATCGTTCTGGCTACGCCACTGCACGCGACTTTTCCAATTTGCTTTTGAGCGTGAAATTTCACATTTTTTTGGCTTGGGACTATATAATAAACAGATCATTATACGGTGGCTTGAAGATATGGGTTTTATCTTCTCTTGTTGAAAACAATATTTTACTCACTCGCTGTGTAAAATATTTGTTTTCACCACTCGAAGATAAAAGTCATATCTTCGCGCCGCCGTGTAATATCCTCTATATATTTCATGACACCCTCGAAACACTTATATCCGGTACGCAATTTTTCTTCACCAAAGTTTTAAAGTTGAACATTTTGACTGATCAAATAAATTAAAGGTATATCATTTGATATACTGTATTAAACAAAAGCATAAAAGCAGGAAATGGAACACAAAACATTTTCTTGGCATCGATTTTATGTTACCAGTTTGTGGTCGTCTGGGCAAGATCTGGGGTAATACTGTTTTTTTTACTCAATTTTTTAAATCTTGATTATTTTAGTAAAGAAATGTGTTGTGGCATTACAGTTGGAGAATGGTGAACGCCTTGTGCACGAATTCAATTCTGATAATACGCTGTTTAATATACTGATGCACTGGAAATCTCAGTCTGAAAGGTATACTTATGTTAACAGTGGGAAATCCAGTGCTTGTAGTCCTGGGGCCGGTTGTTCAAAGGTGGGTTAACGCTAACCCTATAGGTTAAAATTTAACCTGCTGTTTTAGTTTGTGTATTTCTGCACGTTTGTTTATTTCAAAACTTCAGAGAAGAAAACTCCTATCCATAGGCGTACGGGGCGGGGGGGCGGGGGGGGGGGCGGTAGCCCCCCAGTTTTTTGGGCAGTTGGGCAATATCCCAGTTTTTGGGCAGATTGGGCAAATTTGTGGGCAATTTTGGTTTGCAATTAAAAAAAATGGGACAAATTCTGTCAATTTTGTATAAAATTAAGTAAATTTTTTGGCAAATTTTGTGATTTTTGGAAAATTTGTGTTATGTTCCGAAAAATATTGGTTGTCCGGAAAATTTTTTTGACCCCTAAAATGGTACACTGACCGAAATTTTTTTGGCGACGGGTGGGGGGGAGGTCGCCAAAATAATTTTTCCGGAAAAAATTTTTTGACATTTTTTGGACAATGTGGAATTTTTTGGGCAAAAAAGCTACCGCCCCCCCAGAATTTAGCGGCCCCGTACGCCTATGCTCCTATCGATCCAGACAAGATCTCTGAAGAAATATTTCCAAATTTATAGACAAGCTGTCAGGAAGTTTGCTTTGAATTTTAGGTTAACCCTAGGTTAAGCAATTTCCGCACGCAGTACAAAAGTATACCAATCTCTATAAACAGGGTAATATTTTCCTAGCTAATAAAATAGATTGATTGAAGCAAGATTTTCCCAAATATCGACGAAAAGGTGCATTTTAGAATGTGATTTGACGGGACTAATTACCGGGTGAAAATGGTACTTATGCACTCGCAAATTTTCGACAGCTGACTGCTCTCAAAGATCTTTGAAAAGTCTTTGAAAACAGGCAGAAAAAATCTTTGAAAGTCTTTAAATTGTTTTGGTCTTGGAGACTACGAACCCTGATAAAGCGCTATACTTTATATAATAAATAGTAATAATTATTAATAATTATTACTATGTAATTACATATTAATAATTTATTACTCATTTCTTCGTACAAAAATTGCTTCAAAACTCGTTGTATATGAAACGATTTCCAAATATTTGTCTTTGAAAATTGAAATCTTGCTTATCCCACTCCTGGCAAGTGGCCACATTTTTGAGATCAGTGAGGAGGTCCACCCATACACCATGAACCTTGACAGCACTTTAGACTTTTTCCCCAGGTGTAAATAGCCGGACGGAATTAGTATACCCTCCCCCCGGGCTAACGTCCCGGAACGGTGCTCTGCGCCGTTGGCTCGGGGATAATATTTAATTTATTTTATTTTATTTTAGTCTTACATTTGACGACACTTTAGATGGTGTGGTATGCATTTACACAAATCAACAGGTAGTTTAAAATTGGCACATGCCCCCCATACCCTGGATTCCAGAGCCTTCGACAGTAAATAATAAATTGAAACGTCGCGAAGGCTCTGGTTCAAAGGGGAGATTCTTTGATTAAACCGCGCCAATCACAAAACAGAATTAGTGGTTTTAGTACAGATTCTGTACTAAAACCACTAATTCTGTTTTGTGATTGATTGGCGCGGTTTAATCAAAGAATCTCCCCGTTGAACCAGAGCCTTCGC